AATAGAATACAATAACACATCAGAAAAATCATCCACCCAGACCAAGTGGGATTTATCCCTGGTATGCAGGGATGGTTCAATATTCGCAAATCAATCAATGTGATACACCACATCAACAAACTGCAGAAGAAAAACCATATGATTACCTCAATAGATGCAGAGAAAGCATTTGATAAAATTCAACACCCTTTCATGATGAAAACTCTAAGCAAACTGGGTATGGAAGGAACATTCCTCAATATAATCAAAGCAATTTATGAAAAACCCATGGCCAGCATCCTATTGAATGGGGAAAAGTTGGAAGCATTTCCACTGAGATCTAGTACCAGACAGGGATGCCCACTCTCACCACTGCTATTCAACATAGTTCTGGAAGTCTTAGCCAGAGCCATCAGGCAAGAAAAAGAAATTAAAGGCATACAAATTGGGAAGGAAGAAGTCAAACTATCCATCTTGCAGGTGATATGATTCTTTAGAGGATCCTAAGAACTCTACTAAGAGACTATTTGGAACTCATAGTAGAGTTTGTCAAAGTAGCAGGATATAAAATCAATGCACAAAAATCAACAGCCTTTGTATACACAGGCAGTGCCACTGCTGAGAAATAACTGCTAAGATCAATCCCATTCACAATAGCTACAAAAACAATCAAATACCTTGGAATAAACTTAACCAAGGACGTTAAAGATCTCTACGATGAAAATTACAAAATCTTAAGGAAAGAAATAGAAGAGGATCCCAAAAAATGGAAAAATCTTCCATGCTCATGGATTGGAAGAATCAACATCATCAAAATGTCCATTCTCCCAAAAGCAATTTATAGATTCAATGCGATACCAATCAAGATACCAAAGACATTCTTCTCAGATCTGGAGAAAATGATGCTGAAATTCATATGCAGACACAGGAGACCTTGAATAGCTAAAGCAATTTTGTACCACAAAAACAAAGCCAGAGGCATCACAATACCAGATTTCAGGACATACTACAGGGCAGTTGTAATCAAAACAGCATGGTACTGGTACAGAAACAGATGGATAGACCAATGGAACAGAATAGAAACACCAGGAATCGACCCAAACATCTACAGCCAACTTATATTTGATCAAGGATCTAAAACCAATTCCTGGAGCAAGGACAGTCTAATCAATAAATTGCACTGGGAAAACTGGATCTCCACGTGCAGAAGCATGAAGCAAGACCCCTACCTTACACAAAAATTCACTCAAATATGACCCGACTCCATCAAATTATTAGAGAACATTGGAGAAACCCTGCAAGATATTGGCACAGGCAAAGAATTTCTGGAAAAGACCCTAGAGATGCAGGCAGTCAAAGCCAAAATTAACTATTGGGATTGCATCAAATTGAGAAGTTTCTGTACTGCAAAAGAAATGGGTGAATGAAGAGGCAACTGACAGAATGAGAAAAAATATTTGCAAACTATGCTACAGATAAAGGATTAATAACCAGAATCTATAAAGAGATCAAGAAACTCCACAACAACAAAACAAACAACCTACTTAAGAGATGGGCCAAGGACCTCAATAGACATTTTTCAAAAGAGGAAATCCAAATGGCCAACAGGCACATGAAAGAATGTTCGGGATCACTAGCAATCAGGGAAATGCAAATCAAAACCACATTGAGGTTTCACATCACCCCGGTGAGAATGGCTCACATTCAGAAATCTACCAACAATAGATGCTGGTGAGGATGTGGGGAAAAAGGGACACTAATCCAAGGTTGGTGGGAATGTAAACTGGTAAAGCCACTATGGAATTCAGTCTGTAGATTCCTCAGAACCCTGATTATAACCCTACCATTCAACGGAGCCATCCCACTCCTTGGAATTTACCCAAAGGAATTTAAATTGGCAAATAAAAAAGCGGTCTACACCTTAATGTTTTGCAGCTCAATTCGCAATAGCTAAGACCTGGAATCAACCTAAATGCCCATCTACAGTAGACTGGATAAAGAAATTATGGGATATGTACTCTACAGAATACTATACAGCAGTAAAAAACAATGAAATCCGGTCATTTGCAACAAAATGGAGGAATCTGGATAACATCATGCTGAGTGAAATAAGCCAGTCCCAAAGGGACAAATATCATATGTTCTCCCTAATCAGTGACAACTAACTGAGCACCAAAAAAGGAAACCTTTTGAACTGAAATGGACACTATGAGAAATGGTGACTTGATCAGCCCTTGCCCTGACTGTTGATGTACAACTTAATACTTTATCCCTTCTAGTATTTTTTTTGTTTGTTCTACTTAATACTTTTGGTTGAATTCTGTAATTAATACAGAGTTATTCTTAAGTGTTGATACTTAACTGAAAAAAAATGATCCCTGTTAAATATAAGAGTGGGAATAAGAGAGGGAAGAGATGTACAATTTGGGACATGCTCAAGCTGACTTGCCCCAAACGGTAGAGTTAGAAACATACCAGGGGATTCCAATTCAATCCCATCAAGGTGGCATGTACCAATGCCATCTCACTAGTCCCAGTGATCAATTTCTGTTCACAATTGATCATAATGATAGGACTAAGAGTCAAAGGATCACATAAACAAGACTAGTGTCTGAAAATACTAACTGATAGAATAAAAAAGGGAGAGAACGATCCAACATGGGGAGCGGGATACACAGCAGACTCATAGAATGGCGGATGTCCTAAACAGCACTATGGCCTCAGAATCAGCCCTTAAGGCATGCGGATCTGGCTGAAAAGCCCATGAGAGTAATTCAGGCATGGAAAGCCAAGACACTCTGTCAAAAAAAAAAAAATGACCTAAATGAAAGATCTCTGCGAGTGAGATCCCAGTGGAAAGAACAGGCCATCAAAGAAGGAGGTACCTTTCTCTGAAGGGAGGAGAGAACTTCCACTTTGACTAAGACCTTGTCTAAATATGATCAGAGTCGGTGAACTCAAAAGGCTTCCATAGCCTTGGCAACTCATGACAAGAGCCTAGGGTGATTACTGATGCCATAAACAAGAGTGTCAATTTGTTAAGTCAACAACAGGAGTCACTGTGCACTTACTCCTCATGTAGGATCTCTGTCCCTAATGTGCTGTACATTGTGATTTAATGCTATAACTAGTACTCAAACACTATTTTTCACTTTGTGTTTCTATGTGGGTGCAAACTGTTGAAATCTTTACTTAATATATGCTAAACTGATCTTTGTATATAAAGAGAATTGAAAATGAATCTTGATGTGAATGGAAGGGGAGAGAGAGTTGGAAAGGGGAGGGTTGTGGGTGGGAGGGAAGTTATGGAGGGGGAAAGCCATTGTAATCCATAAGATGTACTTTGGAAATTTATATTCATTAAATAAAAGTTAAAAAAATAGTAACAAGTGTTCCCAAAGAGTTATTTTCTTTCGGTGTTTTAAGCAGAGGATATTCTCATGCCTCATAAGTTATAGTTACAGTTATGTCTAAGAGCTCGCAAAAAAAATTATCTTTAAAGAAGAACCCAAGAATGATGTATTAAGTCTCTATAAGGAAAGAAGGGGGAAGGAAGGAAGAAAAAAAAGTCAAAAAAGGGAAATTACTTTGAGATGCAGTAACTTTGAACAGCACTTGTCTGGACTGTTGAGGAAGAGGATTTTTGATTTTTTTTTTTTGCTTGTTTTTCTTTTCTTTTTTTCTTTTTCTCTCTCATACAAAGGGCTAACCTCTTTACCTAGCATAGAGTTAACCCTCTGCATATAAAACTAAATGAAAATAGATCATAGTAAAAAACAAGACAGGGAACAGGAGAGAAGAGGAAGTGGGGGTAGGAGATTGGAGGGGAGGGCAAGTACCGTGGGAAAAATTACTATGATCCTAATGTTGTATTTATGAAATACATGCAAATAAAAAAAAATATGAGTGAGAAATGGTGCATGGTGTCAGGGGGAGGAGAGAAACTCCACTGGCTACAGTTTTTACTTTCAAAATTGGGAGCCATGTGAGTGCATTCTATGCTTACAATAACTCCATAAACATTTGTCAAGGGCTCCCTACACAAAACTGGTACATTCTGTGGAACAAAAGAGATGAGTGGGGCCAGCATTGTGGTACAGTGAGTTAAGCTTAAAAGCAGGCATCCTAGGCATCCCGTTATCAGATCGAATCCAGGCTGCTCTGCTTTCAATCCACTCCCTGCTAATGGCCTACAAAAGCAGTGGAAGACAGCCCAAAAGATTGGGCCCCTGACATCCAGGCAGGAGACCAGGACAGAGTTCCTGGCTTCTGGCTTCAGCCTGGCCCAGTCCCAACCCCTGTGGTCATTTGGAAAGTAAGTCAGCAGATGGAAGAACTCTCTCTCTGTTCCTCCATCCTCTCTCTTCTGTCACTCTTTCAAATAAATATATAAATCTTCAAAAAAAAAAACCACATAATATGCATGATGACTACCCCCAAGTCTATCCTTTTCAACACATGTCCACATCACCACTGATGCCCATACACTGCCACGTGATGTCTGAGGACTCCCTGGGAGGTGGTAGGACACTTTAAATATTTTAAATGACATTTTAAAAAAAACTAATAGTCAATTTACAGTAATAAGCCTTGCTATTGTTCTGTACAGTTTACAAAGTGCTTTCAAAATGTAAACCCTAGTTAGGTCCTTACCACCACTTCCAATTTCAAAGACAATGGGACTCAAGTTGTGAGAACGAAGGGACCCGACAGGTTCTCCCCCTGGAAATGGCAGAGCCAACCCTCGATCTCGTGAGTCAAGGTTGACATTGCTTCCACGGTGGCTCAGAGGAAGACACAACACCACCCACCCACCCCTGCCCCTGTCATCCTTCTCCACTCCAGAAAGGGCAAAGACAAAGTGATGGCAGCAAGAACCTCCTAGATTTCATTTCAATCCCATGACGTTTTGTGACAGACTGATGTTAAGTATGAGTCAGTGTAGGTCTTGGTCCTAGGGGACAGTACTGGCACAGAGAGAAATGACTCCAACTTCTGTTTTGACTGTTACACTTACCCAGCAGGAGACAGAAGAGGAAGGAAGAATGTCCTTGGCTGGTGTGGACAGAATCCTGCCAGGAAGCATTTAACAGCGTGCCAGGGACATCCCAAGTCCCATTAACACCATGACACCAAACCAGAGAGGCGCTGAGCACTCAGCGACACTGCTAACTTCTTGGCAACTTTTGAAAGCAAGATCGTGTTTCTATTGACTAAGGTGTGGGCGAGATATTTGAAATGCAGAGGCGCTGGAAAGGCACCAGTGAGGGGAAGGATTTTTCTCCCCACAACTGAGATGAACATCACTCTGAGGGGTACATTGCAAACCTTTGCTCACATAAGATTTTCCTCCTGTTTGATTCTTCACCTCCACATCAACTTGAGAGTCCCAGAGTCATATGATCCCCCAAGACAGAGAAGGCAAAAGCTATCAGTAAGCAACAACAAAATCCATCTTCGTAGCTGCGATGTGGGTCCACCACTCCGGCTGAGGGACAGTTCAGGGGGTACCAGCACCAATGATGGGAAGCCTAGGAGCTCGCTAACACACCTGTGGGACCTGTCATCTAAGACCCGATGTGCAACTCCACCAAGGCGTGTGTGTGAAGTCCTGAGCCACTCAATGCTACTCAGCACATGCCAAGGGCGAGTGTGTTCTCATTAGCAAGTCTCCTAACCCTTATTCCTCATAGACTAAAAACTTGACATGACTTGGAATTCTGATCCCTCCTAAAGCTGGAGGAAAATGGGATGCTTATGATAAATTAATCCTGGGGAGAATCGACCCTTTGATGCTTACTTTCCCACAGGTAAGTTTTTTTTTTTTTTTTTTTTTTGGAAGAGGAAGTTGTCAATTCTTCATCTAACTCACAGATCATCAATTCACATCTGTTTCAATTACTTCAGAGCATGCAAAAATATTCCAAGCAGGGTAACGAAATTCTTGGGATTTCATTTTGCTCTCAGGTCAAATATGCAACTAGTAGGCTAATTTCATGTAGCCCTGATGTGATCCCTTTCAAAGTGGGTGAGATAAAAATGGAGCTCAGGCCCAGCTTCTGAATTCTGCTCACAGCAGTTTAGCACTCTGTAGCCACGATTTTCCTTGCTTCGAATTCTGACTCTCCCTCCAAGTATGTAGCTCTCCCACACTTTGTTATCTAGAAGGTCAGGAAGAATCAAAGGAAAGGGAAAAGAAATTCTCCCCAAGATCAACATCTGATCAACAAAAATAGGTCTGCCTTCACACTGAAACTATTCTCCATGGTCTTATTGTTCTATTTTTTCCCCCAAAAAGGATGGAAAACCTAATTCCCAGAATATGTTAATAGCTTCATTATGTGACCATAGGACTTGTAAGTTATGCAGCTCAAGTGTTTCAGAGCTAAGCTACTGAAGTATTTTTAGAATAATATCTGATCTCTTGACATCAATCTGTTATCAAGGGTCTAGTCTCAGAAGCATAGCTCCCGTCTAACAGAAGATCCAAGGGCCACATCTAGAAAGCTGCATTTGCGATATGGAGGTGTGGCTCAGGCTTGAGGTTACCCAGGCTTAGTCTTGGCACACCCATTTTAACTAGGGGCGGGCAACAGTAAGGATTAAGAAAAGGGGTGGGGGGGAACAGGTGCTTGGAATCATATTGGGATCAAAATAGAGGCCACGCATTCAGAAAATTCCAGCAAAGTGTGGAGGAGGATTTAGAAAAGTTCAGATTATTGTCCATAGCACAGAGCTAAAGAAGAGGAAGGCACCTCTTAACTAAGAAGAATAAATGAGTTCCTTTTGTCAGACAACTCTCTCCACCACACAGCCAGCTTTGGACCTCAAGTATAGAGAAGGCATTTGGGTGCCAGGGAGCCCTGGACAGGAGACAACAAAGTTGGAAAGAACAAGGCAGTACCCTAGGCCTAGACAGGGGGAAGATACTTCCTTCAGACTCTTCGCCTGTGGATACAAAGAAGAGCATTGCCTAACACATACATTAATCCACAAAAAAACCTCCTTATGTGATGCCTATAACAGAACCTCCTCCAGCAATCTGTTGCATTGCCCTAAAAAATGCCTTCAATGGGGAGTGGGAAAAAACAGGTCACTGCCTCACAGACCTGGGCTGACCCGGCCCTACCATCATTCCAACTTGGTTAGGGCAGTGCCATAGCTTTGGAAAAGTGACAATCCTCAAAAAGTTGCCTGCGACTCTGGTGTCCAACTCAGACTGAAAGACCCTTTTATATTTTCAGACTCAAAAGAACCCTGACCCTTGCAGTCCACAGGTACACTGGCCATGCTATACACCATATCTTAACAACCATAACTAGGAATCATAGAAGTGCCAGCTATGATAGTTATTTTTGATGGCTTTCCCCCACTCCAAGACAAGCCCTTAGAGCTCCATGTTCTCGATGACAATGATAATGACTTACTCACACATATTAGACATCTTTCGAGCACTGTAACAAGCCATTAATACACATTCATTCTTCACATTCTCAAATTATATTGTACGAGCCCCATGATACACGCCAGTATTGTCTCCATTTTGCCGAAGAAGAAATCGAGGCACAACTGTGCTAATCTCATCCGAGGCACAACTGTGCTAATCTCATCCCACCTTTGTTAAGAATCCCTTATCAAACAGCAGAGCCTTGGGGCTCCAAAGCATGCGGTCCATCCTTTCTAACAGCTGGGAGGGAGTGAAGGAGGAAGGCAGGCTGGGATTGATAATAGTCTTCAGACAAGTATGCCCAACTCCTTTGGTCACAAGATACACACACGATGTACCCCTGCTATTGTTTTCCCTAGTGCTCAGTTCTTACCCGACTGTCCTCCTGGATCTCCCAGTCGCTCGAAAAAGTCACCAGCTGCTGCCCTTGCGAACAGTTTGAAAACTGGAAGAGGCTGGAAAACATTCTTCTGTTCTCTTGAGTGTCGGGAAAGATGGCATCTTGGAAATTGACTCCATGCGGCAAGAGGTTATAGTTTTCATCCATCCTGAAGAGGGGGAGAGAAAAGTAACAGAGACTTAGACCAGACAGCCAGGGAGGATCTGGCTTCAATCAAGAGTACTAGAGGACTGTGCCAGCCTTGCCAACCTCCCCACCACGTCTCACACGCTCTCACTGGAGGGGACACTCCAGTTACCACTACCTCTGTTTCCCTGCTTCATGCTATGATGCAATGCTATCCTCCAGGTTTATAAAAAGGCAAGTCTGGGCAGGGGAAGGGAGAAGGCATATGCACCTATGCCTGCTAACTCATCTGTGTTTCCCAAGTTCCCCACCTGCCTTCCTTCTTATATATAGTGTTCTTTGCTTCCTGGTGAGGAAAAAGCCAGTCAGTCTTAGGGCCTGGGTTCAAGTCCTGCTGTTGCCGCTTTTTCTGTAAGACAGGAAACAAATTTCTTAACTTTACACCTCAGTACTGTCCTGGTGCTGTTCTAAGGATGGCACTAGAAGACCTAAGCAAGTACAGTATCATCTCTTACCTATGGTTTTGCTTTCCCTGGTTTCTGCTACCTGTGGTCAGCCATTCCAGATATAAAGGTTTTAAATAAATTTTGCAATATCAAGTTGTCATTCTCCCATTTTGTTGTGAGTTATGGTAGTTAATCTCTGACTATTCCTAATTTAGAAATTAAAGTTTATCATGGCATGCATTTAGAGGAATAAAATACTATCTACAAAGTTTGGTACTATCTGCGGTTTCAGGCATCCGTTGGTCTTGGAGTGAATAAAGGGGAACTACTTGTAAATCACTTTTGCTCCAAAGAGTGTGTGCAGCTTTAACATTAGACAGCATTGTTACAGAGCCTAGCCTAGCTGGTCAGAAAGATGAGGAAGTCAGGATGACAAGGTAAAGGAGGCTAGGAGGTGGATTCACACCCCATTCCCCACCCCCAAACACACACACACACACACACACACACACACAGACCACAGTCTGTTCTCCTCTCACTGAGTCCCAGAATAACAAAGGAAGAATGATTTGTGTGCAGTTGTTAGCACACTTCAGAGCAAGACAAGCACTGGGAAAGGGAAACCTGTCAGGCTACTGTTTCACTTTGTGTCTCTGCCCGAGCTTTTTGTAACTCAATTAGAGCAAGAGACGGAGGAACCAGCTGACCACCACAGAACCAATGGACAAAAGTAGTAATGATTAAAAGCAACAATAACAGAGTCTGTTCAAACCCTCCTGTTTTTTATTTCTCCCCTTGGAAAACAAAGTTTGTTGTTAAATAGTTTCGAGCCAAGTTCTCAGTTTTCATTCTAAATAAAAACGTCAAAACTCAGAGTTCTTTGCCTTCAAGAAGCGCACTCCCTAAGTTCTTGCTGACTTTATTTAGAAACTGGCCTTTTTTTTTTTTTTTTCCTTATAGAATTTTCTCTGTCGTGTGTGTGTGTGTGAAGAAGAGTTCAACCTCATCTCGTGAAACCACTCAAGCCAACACAAAGCAGGATGTGTATCCTAAACTTAGATAGTCTGCCCGCAGTATGGAAAACCCAGGTCTCGGGAGCTTACGAATGCCCCTCTGTGGAATTGTTTTCTTTCTCAGAGCAGGATGAGCTACAAGTGAATCTGCAGACCCGGGTCAGAGTCATGGCAAATATCCTAAGTGCTACTCAAGGACTGGGAAGACTGCGATGGTTATGAATAAACTCACTTATCACCTCCATGTATGGGTTCAATTGCATTTTGATGTTTCTCTCAGTTCTGTATCACAATGGGGGAGGCAACTAATGAATTCAGGGTTGCACCTGCCGTTTACTATTTCAAACTTCCTAATTCAATAGTCTATAAGAACTGATTGTATTCTGATGCAGATGAATTCTATCTTGATCACAAGCCAACTTTCATGAGACTTTACAAGATTCCAGAAGCCTACAATCAGAGAGGACATTCTGCCGGATTCCCCTCTTGACTCTTTGAACAGACACTGTGAGCAGGGGTCGCACTCCCAGAAGGTCCCCCACAACCCTTGCTATTTTCAATGACCTGGCAGCTGAGAGGAGATAGTAAAACAAGAGGCCAGCCAGACTGCATTCCAAATCATTCCCATCTTGGCAATGAAACGGGTGGGAGATGAGAGTAGGTACTTGTTAAGAGGCTACCATGCACCAGGTACTTCACAGCAATTAGTGTTTCTAATCAATCTTGTTTCTCACTTCATGCAGGTGAAGCTAAGAAGGCTCTTGGCAAAGTAAACTAGCTCAAAAATCAGCAAAGAGGCGGGTGTTTTGGCTAAGTGTGGAGCAAACGGGCATCTTACATTGGAATAGGTGGATTCTATACCTCGCTCTGGCTCCTGACCCCAGCTTCCCGCTGATTCAAACCCTTGGTGGCTCAAGTGACTGGGGTCTTGTGACTCATGTGGGCAACCTGGATTGAGCTCCTAGCTTAGCCCAGGGCCACTGTGGGCATTTAGGGAGTGGACCAACGATGAGAGCTCTCCCCTTTTTTTCTCCCTGGCACTCTGCCTCTCGAATGATTTAAAAAAAAAAAAAAAAAAAAAAAAAAAGCTTTCCTCACTATCTCGGTCTGTTTTCACTGAAACCAATTTTTAAAAGATGAGGCAAATGGGTTACAGGAAAACACCCGAGAGAGGCTTTTGCCCAAAACTCCCCTGTGTGCCCCAGGTCAGGGAACCACGCCTGCCTTTGAAACAGAGGGGGCTGCCCAAGGCACGTCCAAGTTGGGAACGGACTCTGCGGGCGTCCCCATCGGCTCCAGTACCGGCGACATGGGGACACGCGCACCTGCCAGGTGGCACGGGGCGCGGGGCTCACCTGAGGAAGAAGAAGTAGGAATAGTCCTGGACCACGGTGTGGGAGTGGCACGAGAAGTAGCCCAGGCCGCTGAGGTTGAGCCTGGAGCCGGCGGGCACCTCCAGCATGCTGCCCCACGCCTGATCACACAGCATCTCCACCTCGGCCGAGTAGAAGAGCCCGCCCTGGCCGGCGTGGTACTGCCAGGGCAGGTAGTTGTAGAGGCCGGGCACCTCAGGGTGCAGCGCCAGCACCTTGGCATACACGATGGTCTCGGCCAGCTCGGCGCGGCAGCCCTCGCTCAGGGGTCTCCACTCGGAGGGCAACTGGCAGGCGCGGGCGGGCGCCGGGCGGCCGGCCAGGCAGAGCGCGGCGAGCAGCAGCGGGCGCAGCATGCCGGCGGCGGCGCGCTAGCCCGGGCGCATGGCGGGGCCCCGCGGGGCGCGGGAGAGGCCCGCAGAGGACAGCCCTGGGCGCTCAAGGCTGCTAGCGCCGCGCCCGCAAGCTCGGCGCGCCGCTGGCTCTGCCGCCGGCCTCACCATGCCCGGCCTCGCCCGCCACGCTTTAAAAGGGTCGCGGCGCCGGGCCGGGCGCCCGCCTCCGGCCCTGCCCCCGCCACTCGGGAGGGGGCGGATCCGCGCGGGGCGGCCGCTCGGGCCGCGGACTGGGGCGGGGACCCGAGCGCGCTGAGAGCTGGCCCGGCTCGAGCGTGGAGGCGCGGGCGGGGCAGCCCCTTTTTAGGGCCCCTGCACGACCTGGGTCAGAGCTTGCCCCGCGTCAAGCCTCGTTCCAAACGCTGAGCATCCTCGAAGTAATTGCTGTTCGTTTGCATGAGTTCTCTGCTCAAGTTTTTACATTTTCTATGTAGTTAATTTAGAGCCCATATACATATAAATGAAATCTGATTTTAACTTCTCGGAGGGCCAACTGCGAAGTTCAGTGTGAGCTAATTTTTCTCTCTCTCTTTCTCTCTCTCTCTCTGTGTCCCTCCTCCACCCCCCAATTTAGTAAAGACTTGAGAAAAGATTTGGAAAGTTATTTTGCCCTGATTTTCCTACACCTAGAAAATTTTCACATAATCTTGACTTCCAAATGGTGAACAATCTACACCTGAGAAGTAAGCTTATTAGTAAATTCTGAAAAGCCTTTCAAAAGACAGTGAATTAGAGACGCAGACTCAAACAATTCTATTGCTCTCAAAATAGTCCCTGTTGGCCGGCGCCGCGGCTCTCTAGGCTAATCCTCCGCCTTGTGGCGCCGGCACACCAGGTTCTAGTCCCGGTCGGGGCGCCAGATTCTGTCCCGGTTGCCCCTCTTCCAGGCCAGATCTCTGCTGTGGCCAGGGAGTGCAGTGGAGGACGGCCCAAGTCCTTGGGCCCTGCACCCCATGGGAGACCACGAGAAGTACCTGGCTCCTGCCATCCCATCAGTGCGGCCATTGGAGAGTGAACCAACGGCAATAGTCTCTCTCTCTCACTGTCCACTCTGCCTGTCAAAAAATTTAAAAAAAAGTCCCTGTTATTTCCAATAAGAAGAAATAAGACGTTTTTATCATTTATCAATATATTGGTAAATTCATATTTATTATATCATGCCTATTATACATATAATGTGCAGATTATCATGCATGTGTCATATCTATTATAAATTACATATATTTACAATAGATTTATAAACAAAAGTGCCTTAACATGAACAATCATTCTGCAAGCATCTTACTCATTTGGGTTTCTGCAAGGTTGAGCCTTGGAACCAACTGAGTGCTTCTATGAACTGCCAGGAAGAAAGGTCCTGGGGAATTCTGGAAGGCAGGTAAGGAGAAGGGAGGCTACAGAAGTGGGGAGAAAATTCACTCACCCCCCCCAACACGATTCCCAAATCTTCTAGGGAACCTCAAAATGTCATTTGTCATGATCAGATTCCTGAATGCTTGTTGTGAACACAATTTGTTTTTTTTTTTTTTTAAGATTTTATTTATTTATTTGAGAGGTAAAGTTACAGACATTGAGAGGGAGAGACAGAGAGAAAGGTCTTCCTTCTGATGGTTCACTCCCAAATGGCCGCAACGGCCGGAACTGCACTGATCCAAAGCCAGGAGCCAGGAGCTTCCTCCAGGTCTCCCACGTGGATGCAGGGGCTCAAGGACTTGGGCCATCTTTTCATCTTCTGCTGCTCTCCCAGGCCATAGCAGAGAGCTGGATTGGAAGTGGAGCAACCGGGACTCCAACCAGCATCCATATGGGATGCCAGCAGCACAGGTGGAGAAAACCTACTGCGCCACGGCACCAGCCCCGTGAACACAGTTTTTGAAAGGTAACTCAGGTATCCATCCAGCCTGTGTGGAAGGGACTCGGAAAGAGCAGCTAATGGGAAGGGCAGTACTTTGGGAATTGGATGGAACCTGAGGGGGTCTTTGGGTGTCCTGGGACAACGAGGTGATCAGACCTCCAGGCAGCCTTGCCCATCTCTTGAGGGACCTGGGCTCTAGCTGACACCAGGGTCACCCTACTTCAGATTCCTGGCATTGCCTCCATCAGCTGAATCCTCAGTCCTCACAAACCCTTCGATGATGGTCCTCAAAACAGTCCTCAAAGACAGGGCGGGATCCCTGCATATCTAGTCCTGAGCCTCAATAAATTCTGTAAGGAAAACCGACCTATCACATGGGAAATCAAACAGATGACAGCCCCAAGGATCAATGAGGCACAGCTCTGACCTGTCATGGTAGAGCCCAGACTTCCACAGGGTGGGTAAATGGCATTCAAACATGATGTCAGAGACCAGATATCAGCCCTGCTTACAGATTTGTTACTGAATACTTGCATTTAAAAATTCTACACTGTTGTGTATCTGCTACCATAACAAAATATTGTCGAGTGAGTGGCTTTATTTCTTACGAATTTGGAGTCTGAAAATTCAAAATCAAAGTGTTGGCCGGCGCTGTGGCTCACTTGGCTAATCCTCCGCCTGCAGCTCTGGCATCTCATATGGACACCAGGTTCTAGTCCCAGCTGCTCCTCTTCCAGTCCAGCTCTCTGCTGTGGCCTGGGAAAGCAGTGGAAGATGGCCCAAGTGTTTGGGCCCCTGCACCCACATGGGATACCGGGAGGAAGCACCTGGCTCCTGGCTTCATATTGGCACAGCTCCAGCTGTAGCGGCCATTTGGGGGGTGAACCAATGGAAGAAAGACTTTTCTCTCTCTCTCTCTCTCTCTCTCTCTCACTCTCACTGTCTAACTCTACCTGTCAAATTAAAAAAAAAAGTACTTTAAAAAAAAATCAAGGTGTCAGCATTCCTATCCTCTCTTCCCGGCTTGCAGACAGCCACCTCCTTGCTGTGTCCTCACAGGTACTTCTTTTTGTGTGCAGTGGAGAGAGGGGTCTCTGGTAACTATTCCTTTTCTGATAAAGTCACCAGTCCTGTGGGGCTACAACCTCACCTTTATGACCTCATTTAACCTTGATGGCCTTCATAAAAGCCTTTTCTCCAAATGCAATCACATTGTGGGATTGGAGCTTCAGTGTAAAAATGTGGGGATGGGCACTCTGCAGTTCATAGCAGTGATGTAGCAGGTGCTCTTGGCAGACACACTCAAAGCAAGCATCGGCAAATTGCAGGATTAACAATTACTAACGTTCGTTGGTGGCCTAGTACGGGCCAAGCACCATTATAAGGACTTCGTGTATATTAATTAATTCTTCAAACAACATTCAGAAATAAATATGTCCGTTATCTGCATTTTACACGTAAGGAAACTTCACCACAGAGAACTTAGTTGGCTTACCCAAATCACAATGCTAGAAAGTGGCAATCAGACTCCAGAATCCATGTACCTAACTATACCATTGGAATAAGGGTTAAAATAGAGAACATTTGAAAGGCACAAATTGGCCATTTTCCTAGGATGTACAGAGACTGCATGAGGAATAATAACCTTTGCATAATCACCAGTGGTGGCTCAGTGAGTGTGTGACTTAACTAACATTAATTTTGTGTTACCCAGAAGCCCTGCTCTATTTTAATCTGATGCTGTAACTTTAACAACAAGACAGTAAGAAAGTTTATCTTTTTATTTTCATCTGCATCTTCAAATCCCTCAGAAGCCTGGAAAAGTTTTGTCTACTTCTATAAATCTTAAAATCCTGAATTTTCCTTCCATTTAGATGAGCAGATAAATAAAAACTGGTATGCTTGGCCGTTTCCTCTCTTTATAAACGTGACAGATTCAAGATCCTTCCTATACTAGCCAGAACAGATTTTCCAAAATTGCACACATTCCAGAGAATGTCCTCATCACAGATGCTCCAGACAAACACAGCGGTCATGCTTTCTCCTTCTATGAGACCTGACAGTGACACTATCACTAATCAGGGATCTTCTGGGGGAGCCATTGGTAGAGCCATGGTGAACAGTTCCTTTTCAGGGACTAAGACCTCCAAGCAGGCAGAGCTCAAGGTAGCCAGGATAGGAAACAAAAAATCCCTTTTGTGAACAATTAGTTTTGATAATGAGATGAGCCACTTCCACCCCTTGATTCTAAGAACCGTCTGTACTGTACTGGCTATAGGGTAAAGAGTACCATTTATTGTTCTGTTTCGAAGTATAGACAGTATCCTCTAGGACAGCACCCCAGGGCTGGGCTGCGGTGGAGTGGAGGTAGAGTGGACTGCTACCTACAGTGCTGGCATCCCACATGAGTGCTGGTTTGAGTCCTGGCTGCTCCACTTCTGATCCAGCTCCCTGCTAATGTGCCTAGGAAAGCAGTGGAGGATGGTTCAAGTGCTTGGGTTCCTGCATCTACATGGGAGACTTGGTTGGAGTTCCAGGCTGCCAGCTTTGGCCTGGCCCAGCCTAGGGTGGTGTGGCCATTTAGAAAATGAGCTGGTGGATAGAAGATATCTCTCTGCATCTCTTCTCTCTCTCTCTCTCTCTCTCTCTCTCTCTCTCTCTCCCTCTCCACTTCTCCCTCTCTCCCCCTCTCCCCTATCTCTCACCCTCTCTCTCTGTAATTTTAGCTTTCAAATAAATAAATAAAAATCTTTTAAAAAAATAGTCCAATCTTTAGTATGGTATATATACACTATGGACAAAATACCCTATGCTTTCGCTGATCTGTGGTAACTAATAGAGTACATAACAGAGTACTAGAAGGTAATCTATAGGAGTGAAATTGATACTTTAAGATTGGATGATTATTTGCAGCTCTTGTCTTGACTGTTGAGAAATAGTGTTTTTTCTTCATACTATTTGTTGAACTGTTTACTTAGTGTAGGGTTAATCTTATGAGTATAAAGTTAACTGAAAATAGATCTTTCTAAAAAAAATAAGTACTGGAATAGGAGAGGGAGGAGGAAGAAGAGTGGGAGCATGGGCAGGAGGGAGGGTAGAATGGAAAGTATCACTGTGTTCCTGAATCTGTATATAGGAAATACATGAAGTTTGGATACGTTACAATAAATTTCAAATTTTAATCTTTAATAAAATTTTAAAAATAAAATATAAAAATCATGTGATTCTTGCACACAACATGCTGGTAAATTCAATCAGTATGTGATAAGTATCACCACCTGTGTATCTTTCAAGACTTTGAG